TTACAGCCTCCCAAGAGCTGGGATTACAGGCGCGCGCCACCACACCCAGTCTCAATTGCTGGCACGGCAGGCCCTGGGATTAAATCCCTGCAGGTGCTTTAATCTGCTGAGCTATTTGGCCAGCCCTGTATTTCTTACTGGTCTGTGTGTTTAGCACTTTCTCAGGCAACCTTCTCTCATCAACTAGCCAAGCTAAAAGCTTGGCAATGCAGTGGAAGATGAAAATCAGAGGCTAGAGAAGAAATGGCAGGATGTGGGTTGGCTTTGATCAGTAGTTGTCAACCAGCATCCTGCAGAAGTTCTGTTGGAAGGGCCAAGGAGAGTGGGAATCCCAGCTTCCTTATCCAAACACTGATCTTGCAAGTGAGGTAGTCTTGACCTAGGGCTTTTGAGAATCCCGGGTCTTTGTCTTACCAACTACTGCCTATGTGAGGACACTGACTTTGTGTGTTTCCTTTGTCTTACTCATTTTGGGGGGTGGGGATCAAAACGTGATTAACGTGTTCATAGATCGAGTAGAGCTAGAGATGACAGCCAATGAGAAGGTGGCTGTGTGGGGGGTGCATGGATATGTAGAACGACTGCTATATTTGATTAGACTGTAGAGTTCACTGAATTGGTTATACCTGAGGAATTAAAGTGAAACACACCTTCCATCCCACCCCAAAAGGCTCACGTAATTGTATTTTGACTTTTGTAGTAAAGGTGTTTGTTTTTCCATTTTTAAATCTAGAGTTAATTTCTCTGTGTGGTTTCAAAATTTATCTTTTTACTTTTTGTGACTAAAACCAGTATACTCTATATGAAATACGGAAAGAACAAATCAAAAGAAGTACAGTACTCCCATAGACCATATGAAGATAAGTATGGTTCTATGAAGCTTAAGTGTGGTTAAAACGTGATAGCAAAAATGAATGTGATCGCTGGGACAAGTTTTTCATTTCCTTCAATTCAATTAGAATTGATTTTTTTATTAAAAAGTGTCACAACAAAATATTAATAATGACAACAGTTAATTTACAGTTAATAATACACAATAGACTGTATCATTTTCAAAGTAGTTACTAAGAATACAAGACAGACGTAAAAGATTCTCTCTTACAGAAAAGGAACAAAAGGATCGGCCAAGTAGTTCAGCAGATTAAAGCACCTGCAAGCCGGCGCAGGGGCAGGTGTTCAATCCGCTGGGCCTGCAGTGCCCGCCCCGCCTCTGGGGCACGCTGAGATGGCAGTTGAGACTGAGCATGGTGACATGCACCTGTAATTTCAGCTCTTGAGAGGCTGTAAACAGGGGGATCACTACGAGTCCAATCTAGTAGTGAGACCCTGAGCACCCTGTAGATCCTTCCCTAAAATGCAAAATAAATCAAAAAATAAATAAAGTATTTTCGAAACAACAGAATAGGTAATTTGGTGAATTATATGAACTTCTCCCTAATTCTTATTTATCTATCATAGATAGATAGATATCCATTATATTTTAGTATCTCATATAAGAGTTGATTTTGTTGTTTCCTTAGCAGTATATTTAAGATAGGACTTTTTAAAATAAAAAAAAATTTAGACACATTAGCTAGAGATTGAGTCTAAATAACACTTGACTAGCTTATACTATATATTACTTTAGATCACTGTATTTGGGACATAATCTTTGCCTGGCTGTAATGATTCAGATCACTGATTTTCAGACTCTGACTCTTGTTTTTTTGGAAATTTCTTGAACATGTTATAGGGGCCAAGATGGGGGACATAGAAAACAAAGCAGGCAGGACTCCTTCGTCCCTTGTCCCAGGCCAGAGAACCAACACGTTTCTCTCTTTTGTAGATCAGAGTTGTGCAGAGGATTTTAATTAAAAGGAATTTCATTAGTGGAGAAAAACTAAAACTTTGAAATCCCTGGCTTGCACCAAACCTTACTTTGTAGCAAAGGGCTGACCCCTGGGGCTTTTTCCTAAATTAACCATTTCCCTAAACTCATAGTAAGATCAGAATTGGATGCACTAACTGTATACTTTTGCATTTTGAACAATAACATATATTTTGTGACTCTGTAAGTACATTCACTTTTGTGCAGCCCATTCAGAAAAATAACATATGCTTCTTGTAGGAGATAGTGAAAGAAATAGAATAGTTCATAATAAGGCACTTCAGGGTAAATAAATGGTATGCACAGAGACATACAGTGGTGATCTGCTTGTATGGTATGAAGGCATGTTAATAGTGGTCACTGAGAAGACTTTGATGAGGTGATTCTTGAGATGTTATTAATGAGAAGTAATATTTGAAAGTTGCAGTAACATTCTTTTTTTTTAAACATTTATTTATTTATTTATTGTGTGTGTGTGTGTGTGTGTGTGGCCAGCTCAGCTCACCAGGGGGCGGGGCTGGCTGGCATGTGGTGCTGGGGGATTGAACCGCGGTCCCTGATGCTTTGCCAAGCTTGTTCCAAGTAGGTGCTTTAGACCACTGAGCCATCTCGCCAGCCCCTGCAGTAACATTCTTGATAGGAATTTTTTGCTCACAAGAGTTCTGTGTCTGCTGTAACAAATTTTGAGTTAAATTTGCAAGGATAGAGCTATACTAGTTGGGCGCTGACCAGGGCAGTAGCTGTGGAGGTTGATGGTGGTTCTTTAAGCAAGTGGAGGATTCCATACAGGGACCAGACAGAGTGATTGCTGCCCGGTCCATACTAAGAACCTGAAACTTATTTTGCAGATAGCTATAAGGAAATATTGAACTGTGTTACTTGAATGACACAATCAGATTTATGTCTTCAAAGAGCATTATGACAGCATCCCATGAAGGGGATTAGAAAGAAGTGATGGTGTAAATGAGCATCAGAGAGATGTAAGAATGCAGGTGAGAAATGAGGATAGCTGCCCCAAGCCAGCGATTGCAGTTGGGGAGAAGAGGGATTCAGCTGAGACTGAGATATTCAGATTCACAGATACAGTGATGCAAGCATCAAGCAATTAAGCGTTCACTGTACTTTGAACATAACAATATGGAATATAACAACCATTGTTAAATTTCCTATCACTTTGTTTTGAAATTCTGTATAGTTTTTATTTTTTAATTTTTATCTCTTTAAAATAAAACTGATCAGAAGATACCGATATGCTAGGGAGATAGCTCAGCAGTGTAAGTGTTTGCCTGGCAAGCACAAGATCCTGAGTTCAATCCCCAGTACCCAAATAAATAAATAAATAAATTTTGCCAAAAATTAATGCCAATAAATAAATACATAATTAAAAAAGCACAAGGTCCTGAGTTCAATCTCTGGTACCGCAAAAAAAAAAAAAAAAAAAAAAGAAGAAGAAGATGCAAATATGATGACTAGATATTAGTGAGGAAACAGTTTAAGAACAACAAAAAAATTATAAATGTATATGCATCAAAAGCTGATGCATCAAACTTCATAAAATGACCACTGCAGGACCAAAGAATTCAGTTAAACATCAATTGAGATTGAGGAGAAAGGCTGTAAATTCCCATGAGATTGAATGTATGAGAGGAGAATCAAGGATGATTTCTGCATTTTGACTACTGCAGTTGGGCAGGTGGCTATTCCCTGGTGGCATGATGAGAAAGGGGCACAGGTTTGAGTGTGAAAGAAGGGGGTACTGTGCTTGAAAAGGATGAGTCATAGAGGCTGAGCTTACCTATGTGCTGCGGTCCTAAATCCAAAGTATGCCACTGAAGAACACAATTTCTGGAATCATTGTTTTCACATCTTTACCATCTGCTTCCTAGCTATGCTGCCTGGACCCTCTGAGGCTGTTCCTCATCTCTAAAATGGGAAGATTAATAATACTACCTCCTTGGCTTGCTATCTAGTAGTTTGGAATATAGCATGTAGTGAGAATCCCATAAACATTAGCACACAGAGTTCTTATTTTCCCCAGACCTCAGGCTCCTCATCTGCAAACTCAGGACGGCATAGAAGAGTTGTTCGGCGTTATGCGACCTGCGGTCCTGTCTCCTTGCACAGATTTGCATTGTAATATGTCTGCTTTCTATTTATATTTATATAAACAAAATTTTACTCAACTGTGTTAATCATTTCTAGGAACTTGCCGCACCAAACCCAAATTCCCCAGCAGCAGAGTACAGGTGAGTACTAAAAATACTAATTTGCTGTTTATGCTTGGTGTTTATGGATGATATTAGTAGATGAAAAGATTACTCCAGCCCTATATAGCTTTGTGTAATTTATGAAAGTTTAGCTTTACCAAGTAAGGCAAAACAGTTGTATCATTCCTTAATCAGACTTAAAACCCTCACAAGAATAGCTTAGATTATTGCATAGATTGGCATCAGAACAGTAAACACAAAGCAAATGATCTTAGAGAGAAAACATCCCCGTAGGTCTTGTCTAATTAAGGAAGACTGAATAAAACCCCTATCTTTCAGTGGGGCTCCCTATTCTTCCCCTTGGTATGAAAGATTTTTAGCTTGGATGCCTCCAGGATTTGTCTCAATAAGTGAGCAGCTTGAAACTAACTCTTACAAAGGGAAGCCGTTGTGGCTAGTCATTGAGACTTCAGAGGGAGGGATCAATGAGAAATGGCAGGCTTGGCTTTAAAGCAGCTTTAAAAAGCTGTTATAACATGACCAGAGACAACAAGATGGCAGACCATTCTCCCTGGACTATTCTGTTACCCTGAGACTTGGTTTCTTTAAGTTTATTTCAAGTGTCCCTAAAAATTTCCACAGCCAATTATTTCATTCATTTCAGTACTGAGTAGATAACTTATTCATGATTGTCTTCCAATTAGTGGTTGATTCCTACTTCTAATTGCCAGGCAACCAGTAATGCCTTTGTAGCTCTTTTGGAAAAACAAGAGAAGTTTTTAAAAATGTGTGTTGGGTGTAGAATTCTAAGTATGAATAGTGCCATTGTGGTAGCACAGATATTAAGAAAGTCTCTTGAAAAACATACAGAATTGTATTGGATGTTTTCATTCAGAAATTATCTTCTTTATTACTGCTTTCTGGAATTTAAGGAGATTTTCGTTTGACAACTTTTCAAAGATTTGAGGCAAGTATGAAGTTTCTCGTCAGATTTGAATTATGAGATAATGTTTGTCTGGATTCCCCCCAATTTTGATTACTTGTTTTAATTAAATGCTATCATGATTCAGCAGGATTGTTCAATATATTGATGATGTGGTGCTACCTTGTAAACTGTCAGATTGATGGAGAAACACATTTTTTAAAAATATATGTAAGCAAAAGAAAAAAATGAATCTGCCATGCCACTGATTTCATGGATACTTCTCTTTTTTTTTTCTTTTTTTTTCTTTTTTTTTTGTGGAACCGGGGATTGAACTCAGGCCCTTGCGCCTGCCAGGGAAGCACTTATTCCACTGAGCCATCTCCCCAGCCCCTGTGGCTACTTCTTTTTAAAGAGAAGAACATTTGAAAAAATATCCTTACAGTAGGGATTAATGTCTTTCTCAATAATCTCATAGACTTCTATCTTTCCTGAGAGGTCTATCTTCGATTCTTAATAATTGAAGTAAGTGGGAAGGAGACAATTTCTTTTACAAAAAATGTTATTTTGGAGGATATTTCAAAAAAGTCAGATTTTATGTTTTTACACACTAAGAGAAATAGAAAATCTGAGTCAGTGATATTAAAGATGATGTTAATGAATGGTATTTGCTTGATAGTCAGACAAATTTTTAGTAAATAATCTCATTAGTGTTGCATGTTATTGATAGAGAGTTTTTGGAAATATAAAGGTAGCTTATGCCTTGAAAAATTAGAGCTGAACAAATTCCTGGGGGAGATTTAGGCAGTTTCTCTGGGTTTTATAAATTAATTTTGTAAAAATAGGTTTGGTACCCCGTAAATGTGTGGACACTGAAAGTAACATAGACTGTGTCAGCAGTGAGTTTTTGGGTAGGTATAGTTTGTAAGCATATCAATTATGTACTCCATGTGTTTGTCTGATTTCAGACCTGGGGACTATTTTTTTACACTCTAATTAATTCTCTTTTAAAAAAGAGAAAAAAAAAAAAAAAAGAAACAGGTTTTGGGAAGCAGATATTTTTCTTCAGTCAGGAAAGCTTTGATCTCTTTTTCATTTAGTCTGATTGACCCTTTCTCTGCAATTTAGATCTTATTGAGGAGAGTGCACTATCTCCTCGTGGTTGTTTTGTCGTGCTGTTTTGTCTGGGAATCGCCACTATCCTGAGCTCTGAAGGGAGACCACCCGAGCGAGCATTTTGTGTACTTGTGAAAGCTTGTTGTCTTCCTGCGTCGCGCACATTTCTGGCTAAGTAGAGTCATGCTTCTCAGAGAGAGGTGGCAAGTGGGCAGTTGTATTCTTAATTCTCATTTTATTCGTTTAAATTGAAGTTTGTGTCTCCGTTTCTAGATTTTCCCTTACCGGCCGTTCAGATTTGGGGCTGAGCTGCTCCATTCCTTGCCCCTGGTTAATCGAGGGTCAGAGGGAGGCGGCTTCCTTTTTGCATCATTATCATGAGACAGCGCTGGCTTTTCTCCCATTTCTCCAAGCGCTCTGCTAGGGTCGCACCTCTCTTCCTGTGGGGAATTTAGGCACAGTTTGTCTCTCAGAGGATAAGTGATTTTGTCTGTAGCAGCCTATGTAAAAGTTATTCAGGGAGAGTATCCTTTAAAGCTTGTTTCATACAGTTGTTTGTTTTTTTTTTGTTTTTTTGTTTTTTTTTTTTAATTCTTTGAAGTTTAAGAACTACATAAGCTATTGGTGTTGGATTCCTGGCCTTGAGAACTAGCTGGAGTGACAGAGCAGTTAAAAGCTGACAGGATGTCATCCTTTTGGATGAGATCCAAACCACTAGGTTGGATGTCCTTCAGGTTTCCTCATTTCTTTTCTCTGCCCTTCCAGCCCACGTAGTATTTTTAAAAGCCCTGATTAAAAGCTACAGTCGTGCATCCTGCAGTCAGCCTCATTCTAGTTGTTTATTGTGGGAGGACTCTTCAGCCCATACCTTCTGAGAAATATAAAACATTGCAGCACTGACCCAAGAAGGGCAGGACTAATACAGGAATTTTTCCATTTCTTTAAAAAAAAAAAAAAAAACAGAAAAAGAATACCACGTAATTATTTTAAGGAAATGGAACATTTCTCCCTGACACAATTTTTTCTGTGTGTGACACCTGAAAACATCTGTAGCCTGCCTAACTCCTTCTCATATCTATCCTTCCATATTGCAGGTAAATGGTATCCCTGAAGAAAGGAAACTGACCACAGCAATGAATCTATAACCAGACAATACTACAGCGACATGTGTTTCTTTTCTTTTCAAAAATGCATGAATTCCTCTGGCATCTGGTGTGCATGTTGACAGTATTAAGTACGTACCAAATAATACAGCATAATTTTCATTTTGCTAATGTATTTCTTTTGTACTTAAAGCATTTTTGACAATTTGTAACACATTGATGACTTTATATTTGTTACAATAAAAGGTGATCTTTAAAATAAATATTAATGAAGCCTAATGTCTGGTAAAATTTACTTCAGAAAAGAAAGCTTTTGATTGCCTGCTATTTGGTAGGAATCTTTTAGTTGCTAGGATTAGGGTCCTGCGTTCATCTTCCTTCAACAAGATTTTACTAAGTGCTTCCACTAAATATATACAGCATCTTTGCTTCTGTGTTTGAGGAAGCAGTGCATTTAAATAAGGCTCTAATCCCTGCCAACCTGAAAACCTGTTAGTATCACACTTTTTGGAGTGTGTTAGAGTAAACCTAGTGTTAGGAATTGTGAAGCCAGTAACATCCAGTTGGCTGGGGCGCCTGGACTTGGTACTCTCTCGGCTTCACAGGTGTTTGCCTGAGAAGTGCGTGAAGAGCTGGGACATGGAGAGATGGGTCAGCTCTGTGGGGCTCCCCGTGGCGGCAGCCCCTGTGCTCCAGGTGTAGTGGGGACTCCTCCTACAGGGCTCGCCTGTTCCATATACTGCGGACACTTAGAGCAGTTTACATGGGCAGAGGTCCAATTAAATTTCTATGGTACCTGTTAATCGTGTCAAAGGCCACACAAATGCTGCCAGATTCCAAAGTCTGAAAGTAATTCATATATATATATATATATATATATATATATATATATATATATATATATATGACAGTTTATTGGATCAATGCCTCCTTATCTTATTACTGTGTTTTCCCAAACAGCCCATAAGAAAAAGTAAGTCCCATATTTAATGTGAGCATCCTCACTGTCCATTCAGAGGGAATGCTCTGTTAGGTCATTTGTTTTGTACCCCTCTTCCCCATTTCTTGTTAGGATGTAACAGAAGATGTCATTCTTTTCTTTATCAAAATCTTAGTCCTTTCCAAGAGAGCGAAGACCTTGCCACTTGCTGTTCCCCAGGAGTGCTCAGTTGGAGGTTGTACACATACTGTGTCCAGGCAGATTCTAGGAAAAGATCTAGGAAACAAAGGGCACTCGGGTCCCAAGGACTAAATTGCGGCCCAGAGACAGAGTTGACAAAATATAACATCTGCAGGGTGAAGTCGAACTTTCCGGTCACCTAAAAGCATGAACAAGGCAACACACAGTTGTAAACAAGGAGCTGCCTGCTGCTCAGCACCCAAGAACTTTACTCATCTGTCCTGGAAAGAGTCATGGTAAAGACTGGAAAATAGACAACTTGGCTTTAGCACTGGCTTCCGCACTGATCATATTTAAGGATTTAACAGGGATGAAATCATTCTCCAGCACTCACACATCATTAACTACATTAACTACAGCTTTAATCTCTACAGATTCTTCAGAACAAAATGACCTTGCCTCTGACTTAATATTTTTATGAGAAGGAGGGTCTGCATATTTTGTCCTTTTTTTATGTATTTGGTACAGGGTCTTACTGTGCAGCTTGGACTCATAGTGATCCTCCTGTTTTCAGCCTCCCCAGTGCTGGGATTACTGGTGTGCACCACCATGCCTGGTCTCGGTGGGCATCTCAGAGCACATGGGGGCAGGGCTGGCATGGCCTGTGGTGCCAGGGATC